TTTCCGGACCTTTGTTTCTCTTTGAATATTAAACAAGTTTTTTCTTCACTTCCCAAGCCTTGACGTAGAAATACAAATGTGCTTTGCATTTCTCCTGGCCTTTGTCATCAATTTGTTCTCACTTTTTTTGCAGAACCTGGAAGTAGGAAAAGTCATTAGAATAATTTGAAATTGGAACCGGAAGAAAACTTGTAAATATATAATGAGCATTGAGAAAAACAGAAAAACTGCTCTATAAAAAACCACCATGTCTGGAAATTGCAAGAAAAAAAACTAGCCAGTCTTTTTTTGACTTCTTTGCATGCGATTGTAATTGGGTGACAAATATGTCTGAGGAGTAGGAAAGCCAATAAAACGGTGATGGTGGTACTTAGGATGTGGCTGAAAACGGAACACTCAGAAAGATAGAAAGCTTTCTTGTTTTTTCGGTTCTATTAGGGCTTTCCAGAACCAGGAAGTGGTCCCACTCAGGTTCCGCCTTTATTTGTTTCAGCGTTCCTGAATTTCCTATTTCACCAAATTTCTTTTTCTTTTCGTGTTAAAATAAAAGTAACACAACTGACACTATCAAACTCTTCCTTGTTTTTTTCTTTTCATTTTTTTCCAGAGATCTCAGGAGGATTATTGAGATTGGAGAGAAAAAAGAGAAGTTTCTTGGATTTTATTGTCTCTTTTTTGCAAGAATAGACGGTGTTATTAAAACTGTCTCTTTTTTTGTTATACTTCAAATCCGTTCTTTTTCCAGATTCCTTTTCAGTGATAGTCACTTTTCTATGCTCTACAAGAAAACAAAATTTTCTATGAATGACTCATTTTGACTATTTACGAACTGTTTTGCGTTGAAAAATAAATTTCGTAGGCTTTGTTAGTTGGCGTCCATTTTAAACTATTTTTTGGAAACAAAAAAAACTTTATAATTTAATGATATCAATAGTAATTTCCTCGAAAACTCCTCCTCTTCCACCCAAACATTTCCTGTGTCTGGGATCGAATTTCCTGTCGCTCTGTCATCTTTCCATCAGTGTCTATGGATACTGGATCGTTTCAATTTTGTTTTTTCCTCTCGATCGAAATGTTTCTTTTTTTTTCTTCTAAAAACTGAAGGAGAAAAGAAACCTCGAGCAAGAAACACACTTCAGTATGAAAATTGCCAAGTTCCGAGTGATGCAAATTTCTGTCCCGATGTCGTTTTTTTCCTTTCCCGGTCCCCAGTATCAAAAATGCAAAATGTCAACTTCCTTTTCGATTTTCGTGCTTTAAACTTCCCGTCTAGCTGGGTCGAAAAAACTGTACTTCTCGAAAAACTTGCAAAGTCATCATCTTTTTCCTAGGAAATCCAAAAATAGGTGCTCAGCACAAATAACCTCGCTTTCAAGTTTAGCTCTCTCCATTGCCGACCCTTTAAAGACATCTGATGTGAGCGTTCAACCTTCCCATAATTTCTTTTCAAGAGCTGAAAAACATGCGTGATCTACTACTCGTTTTGTGACCTGCATCCTGAGTATTTTCTTTGCTTTTTCTATTTTTTCTCGCCACACCTTGTATGTGCTCAGCAGCTTGTCACTCGGTAATAATGAAATTTGATCGTTTTTTGAATATTTGATTCTCGCAACAGTAGATTCGCCTTGTAGTTATTCATTCCCATCCATTCCTGCATACAACGAACGAGAACTCATTTGGTTTTTCCTAGTATTTGAACTAAAAAGTTTTTGATTTGCCTCCTTATGTTTTGCCCTGATGATAATTTGTTTCTGTTCGCAGATGGGGGAAATCTTTCTTGCAAAAACTGCTTGTAATGCTTCTCAGTAGGGTTATCTCCGCGAGATGTCGTTGTAGGCATTTCAGATTATGAAGATTTGGCTTATCACGCCATCCTATTACAACGTGCGCATGTTCTCCATGTTTTGTACTTCTATCTTAATGATAGATATCGGATTAGTTGAAAAAAAGGAAAAGTGACAACAATTTTTTGTTGATAAATTAAGGTTCTAGGAAAATGTAATAATCTGATTTATTTGAGATCGGGTATTTATGGATACATTTCGATTTAATTTGAAATTGAATGTGACTTTTTGAATTTTGAAATTTAAAGTTTTTGGGAACAAACAATTATTTTAGAATTGGATTTTTGTTGGAGAATTGATCTCTAATTTTCTAGAAAAATAGATCTAAATATTCAAATTGTGCTTCAGAGGATCACTAGACTTTTCAAAAATAGATCTAGACAATTTCATTGTTTCCAGACCTATAAAAAACTGATTACTTTTGCCGCGAAAGTAATCAGTGACTTTAGGGGTCTGGAAGCAATGAAATTGCTCGGATCCAACAATATTAATTGTTTTTGAACTAAAAAATTCCTTTAAAAATAATACCCAACCATTTTTCTTGTTTCCAAGTCTATTATGCGAAACATCATAAAATCTGGTACTGTAATGGTACTGTATTACTCCTCTGTTTTTTTTTCACTTTTGTTTGGTGGTCCCATTTTGACAAGTTTCATGGCATCAGGAGGAATATTCAGCAATAAACGAATATCCTTCAACAAAACTTGCGAATTTCTAAAGAGTGGAACCATTTGCTTCCTCCGCATGTTCTTGTACGATTTTTGGATAATCTTTTGTAATGCTCCAGACGATGATCCTCCGTCTACATCCTATGGAATCTTAATGCTAGAAAAAAGGAAAGAAGGAAAAAAGATGAAAAAGTTGTAGAAAATAGAAGCATTCATTTTACCTCCTGATATATATTGGGAGTGACAAGAAATAAGAAACAGAGCCCCAACCTCTTCCTAGTCCCTTTATACCTAACAAAGTCATCGTCCCTTACTGAGCCGTACATATTCAGCGCCGAACCGGCAATGCCAGACCAGAGGGCGGGCTTATCCGTTGTGGAAAAGTGCTAGAGCAGTAGAAAAAGGGGGTGGTGCGGCCAGTTCTGCCTCGTCATACTTCTTCCAACTAAACCCCTCATCTACCACATTGAGCTTCTCATCCAAGCCACCACGTGGTGAGGAATGGTGTCACAGTAATCCACATTCGGTTTGGTAATTTGTCTTCATCTATTTCCTATTTCTATTATTTTGACACAAAACCAAAAAGCAACTCAGTCCTTTTCCCCATATTCTCTCGGTGTCTTATTCTGTTTTTGAGCAGCACATATTGTCAGGGATTCAAGTATTCAAAGTCAAGTCATCAAGATGATGTGAGTTGTCCCACTTTGTTTTTTTTCACTTGTCTGTGTCTTTCATTTTTAGTCCGTGGGAAATTCGGACAAGAATAAATGACAAATAGGAATGTTCCGGATTCTCAAAACACTTCCCATTTGAAAATGTTCACTACCTCTTAAAAGGAGAAAAAAAATAACAAACAAGTAAATAAATTCCAGCCATTTCCTTTCAAACTTCATTTTGAATTCTAACGAAGCAAGTGTAAAAATTTTTTGAAATTGATCAAACTCATTCTTCTTTGAGTGAAAAGCCTTGAGCTTTCCAGGGGCTAAGTAAACAAAAATCCGGTGTGTTCGAGTCCAAATTTGCAAGTAAGACTACCCTATACTTATGCAAAAAATATAAAATGAACTTCACATTCTGAGAATTTTCATATATTTAATAACAGTTTTCATTTGATCAGCCAAACACATTCTTTTCATAACGAGCTGAAGTTTCTAAAAATCTGAAAATCTGAAAAGTCAACCAACAAAAACACGCCTATCATTTTGTTCCACTTGGTTTCATTTCACCTGCAAAGTTTGCTCAGGCGTTAGTTAGTTATCATTAACACAAATTTCTTGATATTTTTTGAAGTTTTTTCTCTCTTCTAAGAGGTAAAAGAGCATTATATTCTTATACTATTCAAATTTACCTGCTTATCTCAAGCTAATAGCTTTGAGGTAATGTTAATCTCTCGTTTTCCCGTCGTGGACATAAGGCAAGTCTTCTTTTGATTGAAATGTAGAAAAAAAAAAGAGTATAATGGACGTACTTTGTATTTTTGCTTGCATGTATCTATTTTTGAATGTGTTAATGGAAAAAGAAGAGGAAAGAGGTCATCTGCTGGGCAAGCATTATTAATAAAATTCCTTGTATAGAAAAGGAATCAACTTGGTCACAAGGGGCATCAAAGATGTAATTGGGTTTTGTTTAATTGGCTGAAGTGGTGAAAACAATGAAAATTATATCTGAAATATTAAATTGAGTTGTTGATTCTTGATCATGGTTCTATTCAAAAAAAAAACTTGAGAAGTCAAGAGGGAAAAGAGGGGATTTCTGATTTTTCAAGTTAACTGAATTTGTAAAAAGCCTGGTCTTTCAACTTTAACTTAACCAACAGCTGAAAATTTACAAAAAAAAAATAATACCAACCTTGATTTTAATGTAGTTTGTGCAAGACCTTTAGAACCCACGTATATCCAAGCCTACACATATACAGAAAACCTTTTCAAAAATTCAATTAATCATTGAAACTAATATCTTTCGTCACTCCCTCTGACAAAAAACCCCATGGATTTATTTTGCGTTCCTTTCTGTTCAAACGGCTTTTGTCATAGATTAAAATTAATAAGGAAAGAAAATCGTCACAATGGCAATAATGCCTTGTCGATTTTTATCATTATGGGTTTTTGTTTTCATTTCCAGAGAAAGAAGCATAGGAATTCCATGTTCCTCATGAAAAAAAAACTGTCTGACGTTGAAATTTTTTCTCAGAAGAAATACCATCCAGATCTTTCTTGTTATCATTTAATTGTTTTTGTCAGTTTGATAATGGGAATTTAAGAGGTTTCCTTCCAGAACTTCCTAAAACCAGAAATACCAAGAAGGAAGACCTCATATTTGTTAATAATATACTTTCCCTGTTTGATTGCTTGTTAGGAATCTATCAATCTTCCAAGGAAAAACTTGTCCCCATAGTTATATTATCCAAAGAATTCATTCACTATCACTACCAAAAAAATTATCACGCTTCAAGAGTTTTATATTCCATTTTTTCAGGTCGAGTTATGTCATGAGTCCTGTCGACGAAACATACACGTTTTTCCAAGTGAGTTCCATTTCTTCTTGATTGCTCATATCAACCAAGTCACAAATTTCCAAAGCATTTGAGCCATACGTCATAACCGGGCCTTTCTCCCACCCGCTTCCCACACATCAGACCCATCTCCCAAAATTCCAAATCTTTCGTTCAGTTTGTATGTTAGTATGTTGAAGAGTTGTAGGTCGAAGTGACAGAGAGAGGCAAAATTGCATAATCTCTTTCCGCCTCCACAATAAGCAAAACGTCTTCTTTTCTCCTGATTGGCGTAGTCTATTTATAGATGTTGTTGCTGTCTGAATCTGGAGCAGATTCCTGGAATTTTGGGTTCTTGTGACACCAAGTCATGTTTTGAAGGTTCCATAAGTTTACTAGACAAGATTGGGGATTTTTTATTCAAAAATTCTGTTTGATATTTGATCAGAATTGGAAATCAAAACTGACTAGTTGAGTCGGAAATTTGTCGTTTATAATCTAACCAAGTTCTTTGAGAAAAAGTTGAACAAAAGAAAAAAGGAACAACTTTTCATTAGTCACTCTTGTTTTATAACGAAGAAAAAAAACGAAAATAACATTGATCTGTGAATTATGCAAGATGGGGTGACTTTCATTCTCATTGATCATTCACTAATTACATGTCCGTGTCGAAGATGCTCTTAGTTGTAAAGTACACATTTTCTTAAGAACTATTGAGTTGTGAATTGTCAACATTCAAACCTAATTTTCCTGTAATTTCAAGAATTTCCGCACACGCACGTTTCATCTATAATACATGAGAAGAACACATTTCACAAGACGATCTTTGACACTCACTTGGTCCTCTCATCCAAATTCAATCAAGAATATCCCTTATTTCCCCCCTCTCCAAACACACTTGTGAATCAAGGGAGATCCCAGATTCTAAATAATACATTTCTATTCGTCTCCGGGGCTCAAAATTCATCAAAGTTTTGACCGCCACCCTCGAAATAGAAACAAACCAATTGGAAGGACAAAATGACGGCATCCGGAGCGGGGAGAAAAAGTTTGATGAGCACCACCAACACCACCAACGGCTACTAGGGAGACCCAGAACAACTAATCATCATAAATTTGTCCTTGGCTAGTTTTAACACGCGCGTCTATGGGTGTGTGTGTGTGTGCAAGTGTCCATCTCATCTTCAGCATACACACATTGCTGCTCATATCTATTTAATCTCATGCGTGTGTAGGGGCCTGTAGTAAAAAAAGGAGAGAAAAAATTGTTAGAAAATTGGGGATCAGAATTGATCCAGGAATGTTTGGAATGGCATTTTCAGAACTTTTCGGAATGTCGAAAATTTCGAGATTCATAATTTTGGAATTTCGGACTTGCGGAGAATGTATGCTGATTGTCAAAATTGCGGAATTTCAAACTATTCTGATTTTCTGATTCTCGAAGTTTCGGAATCCTACATCATCATCAATAAAAACGAAAAATTGGAAACAAATGACAATCAATATTAGAAAACGCCATTGAAATCAAAAGGAATTCCGGTTAAGAGCTACAAGAGCCTCTGAAATATCTTTGATTTTCATATAATCCAGGAAAAAATTGAATGAAAAAAAACTCACTTACAGATACTCAAAGGAAGTGCGCTCTTCCTGTTGGTAATATGGACCATCTTTGCCAACTCTTTGGTTTTCATCGTTCTTTACAAGAACCCCAGGCTGCAAACTGTACCCAACCTTTTGGTAGGAAAATTCTGGAAAACTTTCATAACTTCATTTTGTTATATTTAGGTTGGAAACTTGGCATTTTCTGATCTGGCACTGGGATTAATAGTTTTGCCCTTATCTTCGGTATATGCAATAGCCGGTGAATGGGTGTTTCCCGATGCGTTGTGTGAAGTTTTTGTCTCAGGTAAACAAAAGTCATCAGATAAATCATCTGAGAAAAAAATTCTAGCTGACATTCTCTGCTCAACCGCTTCCATCTGGAACTTGTCTATTGTCGGTCTGGACAGATATTGGGCTATCACTGTCCAGTGGCCTACATGAGTAAAAGAAACAAGAGGACTGCGGGTATTATGATTTTATCGGTTTGGATTTCCAGTGCATTGATTTCCTTGGCACCGCTTTTGGGATGGAAACAGGTAAAAACGCTGGATAAAAATATTTTTATGGAAAAATTATTTCAGACTGCTCAAACTCCAAATCTAATCTATGAGAAAAATAATACAGTTCGACAGTGTACATTTTTGGATCTCCCAAGTTATACAGTCTACTCGGCCACTGGCTCTTTTTTCATCCCCACGCTTTTAATGTTCTTTGTCTACTTCAAAATCTATCAAGCTTTTGCAAAACATCGTGCTCGTCAGATCTATCGACAAAAGGTATGTTATTTCAGGGTTTCTTCCATTTTCTGATAATAAAAAATTCGAAAAAGAATTAGAGCAAAAAATTCTCCACTAGATTTCTAAAACCCGACGAAGCGAACCAAAGCCCGCATATTTATCGTGATGAATTTTCATTACCAACTATATATATATGAATTTTGCATGAATTCCTTTCGAAGAAACCTTGTATCCATTATGCTTGTTCGAGACCGTTCGAAATTCACAAATCGTACCCTTTCAAGTCACAAAAATTATAAATTAAGAGAACTATGGAAAACAAAACAAATAAGTCAAAGAATTTGAAAACGAAAAAAAACCAATTATCTCAATTTTTAGCTGGCCGTCTCATCTCATGTAAGAATTTTCAATGTTTTCGATGTTTATTTTTATTCACAATGTGTTTCGTCCACAACACCACTTCACCCCCTTTTACCACTTTTTTAGAAAGCACCATAAAAATAACATTGTGTTAGTATGTGTGTGATATGCACTGAAATTGGGAATGTGTGACACTTTAGATTTAGGTGTGAATTTTTCTGAAATCAGTTAGATTTCTTGAACAAACCAATGATCACTGCAAACTCTTACACTGCGTTTTTTCACCCGCATGGCTTTTATCGCTTTCCTGATAATCTGAGCATGAGTTTTTAAAAAAGAATGTGTAGAGAAATTTTTCAAAAAAAAACCACACAAGATGGGATTTATCAAAAATAAAAATTTCGTTGTTTTAAGACCTTTTTCTTAATTTTATATTTTAGTAGCAATTTTTGAATTAAAAAAACTACAATTTTTGAATTTTTCGAATCAATATCTGCCCGTATCAATTGCCGATCTTTCCTGTCCCTTGCCCGCAATAAACTTTCTTTAATCCGATGCAATTTGCTTGATAAACTCTATTTCTCTCTTTCCTTTAATGATGTGGATATGTCTGTATCTCATCATTTTTTTAATAGCATGGTGGGCAGCGCGACCGCTTCTAGGTGAACAAAATCTTTAAAAAACTTGAATTTAAATTTTCAGAAACTATTCTAAAATTTTAGATAACATTCTTCAGTCCAAATAGCTTCTAAGCTCTAATGAACATATTATTAAAAATTTATCTAGTATAAAAACTATTATTTTCGGCTACAACAACCGGAAATCAAAGGTAGAAGTTTACAAAAAACTCAAAAATCTCAGAAAAAACCTTTACCTCTTCTTTTCTCTCTTAATTAACGATTTTTACCCCAATCAATCTTGTGTGGTCAATTTTTAACTCCTACATTTTTTCTCTTTTTACCCCTTGATGAGTGATTATTGTTTGATTGGAAAGCGATTTTGGTGTGACCACCACATTTGATTGTTCTTCTCAATTTCTATTCTTCCTGAGATAATAATAATCTGTTGTTTTCTAGGTTATTCGAAAGCATATTGAGTCAACTATTCTTCATGAGATTAGTCATGTTCTGCCAACGTCAGATGAATTTGCCAAGGAGGAAGAGGAGGAAGAAGATAGTGAGTTTGACAGATGGAAAGGGACCTTTGGTCCTGGTCTTAGAACTTGAAAAGAGAACTTGAAGAAAGAGAGAAGGAATCAAGAATCGGATATTTGTTTGGTTAGCGTGATGTTTGTAAAACTGGTACTAATATATTTTCGGATTTTCAAAAATCCAATTTTCAAGGAAAAAGAAAATATCTCTAAAAATTTAAAATTCAAAGATTGTTGATGACTTTTTTCCAAATGTCTTCCAACACTTTCATTCATCAAAGTCCTGTTTTTTTTCTCTTTCCGGATGACTAACATCCAGAAATAAACAAATGTTTCAGGTGAGAGCAGTGGTCAAGTCGAAAACGGATTGGGGAATGGGAACGACGCGATCATCGAAGAAGATGAATGCGAGGATGAGGAGTCTGATGAGAAGCGAGATGTGAGAGATGATTGAATTTTTGAAAAAAACATATTCTAAATGTTTAGGATCACACATCTATGACAACTGTAACCGCCACAGTGACGGGTCCCACTGAAGCTCCATACATGAAACGAGAGGCAAAAATTTCCAAATCTGTGCCAATTGAAAAAGAGTCTGCAATTCTAAAACGAGAAGCGAAACCGATGAGAAGTGTGATGGCAATCAGTTATGAAAAAGTGAAGCGCCATAAGAACAGGTATTCCTTAAATTATAAGCGCTTCTCATGCTCATTGATTTTTTTTTCAGGAAAGAGCGTATCTATCGTAAAAGTCTTCAACGAAAACCAAAAGCTATTTCTGCTGCAAAAGAGCGACGAGGTGTTAAAGTGCTTGGTATCATTCTAGGATGTTTCACAGTATGTTGGGCACCATTTTTCACGTGAGTCATCATTCAAGAAGAAAACTTTGAACGTTTCAAAATTTTAGAATGTACGTTCTTGTGCAGTTTTGCAAAGGATGCAGTCCAAACGCACACATCGAGATGTTCATCACATGGCTTGGCTACAGTAACTCTGCCATGAACCCTATTATTTATACGGTAAAACCCAGACGTATTATTTTCATTATTTCCAAAATATTTGCAGGTTTTCAACAGAGACTATCAGATTGCTCTAAAACGGCTCTTCACGTCGGATAAAAAACCAAGCTCATCCTCTCGTGTTTAATTTAACTTATTGTACAATGCTTTTAAAATTTCCAACCTGTTAGTGTCCCCTATTTGCAAAAAAAAAACATAACAACCATGTCAAGTACCATCTCGGGTTCTATTGCTTCTTTTCTGTCTGTTGCCCACAGGGCCATATATTGAGATTTTATTTTCTTTTCCACTCTTTTTTCACTGTGTCCATTTTCTTTTAAATATAACTTGTAATAAAGCGAATTTTTTTCTTTTTATTTAAACTATCAAACACTTGACTCGATCCCTACCCGATCCCGAGATAGACTGACCGAACGGGCGGATTTGAGAAGGAGAGAGAAACGGTATCGAGTAACTCAAAGTACTTTGTTTGCCAGCGACTTTGTGCCCGCATCGGCTCTGTCACCTTTCCAATATTTGTTCGACTTTTTCTTCCGCACACAAGTCCTTTGGAAAGGAAAAGAGCCAAGGAAAGGGGAGGAAGAAACAAAAATGACGGCGATCTGATCCACTTTCCCCTGTCAGGTGGGTCAATTGACATACAGTGTGAGACTTATTTAAATGTCATGTGGGCATTAATTCATTAGCCCAAAATTAGGAAAGAAATGAGTGAGTGATATCTTGAAAGTTGATGAGTGTTCAAAATGCGAAATGACATTTCTTCCAGGACCATTCCGTAACCGTCGCCATGAGCAACGACACGGTCAGAGTGCTACCCGATGTTTGGCACTAGTATTTTCAGTTCTGACTATGGTAATCATACACATCTTCAAAAAAAACTCGGTCTAAAATTTAAGATTGGATCAGGATTCATCATAGGTTTCGGTTTCCAAACCCTCGTTGAAGTATCATTCACTGCATCTGTGATAGGGAACAATGAAATTATATATGGACCTTATTTACTTATTACCATCGGAATTTTGAGCTTTGTTATGACTCCAATCGGGTTTTATTCAATTATCTTGAATGATAAGAAAGTTATGGTAACTCATATGTTCGCCACATTTGTATTGGGTGTTATGTGCGCGGTGACCGCGGTGTTGGGGTATGATCTTAACTCTCATGTAAGTTTTGAGCTATTTCGGAGGTCTTTAAAGCTCAATCAATACTTTCAGGTTACTAGCAAGGAAATGGAAACATGGATGAAGACTTCTATCCGAGAAGATTACGGTAATCCAAGTGCGCCACATATTTTAACAGAATGGAATAAAGTCCAGCAACAGGTGAGTAGCACATTGAGATGAAAAATTGAATATAGAGAATTTCAGTTCAAATGCTGCGGAGCAAAAAACATGAACGACTTTGTCAAGAGCAAATGGTTCAAAATGCAAAAGAAACATCCAAAACAACGGATACCAGATAGTTGTTGTGCTGATTGTCAAGCAATGCATGAGAGGTACCATTGATTGTGTCAAAATTTTGATTTAAAAAAATGTTTCAGGTTCTGTGTGGCTTTTTTCAAGCAACCTGGAGATCATCCAGAAAAATTATTGAAAATCAAACTATTTGCATACAAGGTAATCCTAAAAATAGCCTATTTATTGTAACTGATATTATTTCCAGCCAGCAACCGATGTTTGTCTGCAGACAACTCAATAGCCAACCGAGATGTCTGTCTTCAACATTCCACAGATTATCGATTATCTGCTGATGCTTACCGGTATACCAACGGGTGCCTACAACCGATTCGATCCACTCTCGAGTTTTTCTCATTCAGAATTTTCATTTATTCCTCTGCATTATGTGTAACATTATTATTAAGTACGATTGTATGGCTGGTTGTTCATGAGATAAGTAGTAGCCCAATTCTTCCGTTTAGGTTGATAAAATGAATGCATAGGAACAATTTGAAAGATGAAATAAATTATTAATAAAAACCAATGACAAAAACACATGAAACAAAAGATTTAAAACAAAAGAGACACTCGTAATTTTCTGAGAATACAAATCAGAATGAGCCAAAAAAATTATTATGGATCATTTGTTTTTCTTGGATTCCACAACTTCTTTAACAACCTTCACAGCCGCTTCAGCTACTTTGACTCCTTGAACGTTTTTCGCAGACGTTCTGAAGAAGAATCCGAAAAGTTTTTGAAGGAATAATACAGGCAAAAAGACGATGAGAAGGAGGAGGTAGAAATCGATTCGTTTGTAAATTGGTTGATAAACTGGTTGCATGTAGGCAAAAGAATGATGGCGTCCGACATGATCTATGACATGGAGAGCTGCGGCAAATGGAGAGGTGGTTCGCGCCTTGAATTCTTTGGACATTTCCTTAGCAGTGTTCTTGTATCTGGAAAAAGTGTATTTAGAGAAAAAGGTTTGCACCCTTAGCAGATTCCAAAACTCACTTTGCAGATTCCAAAACCTTCTTCATAGCTCCGTACAATGAGATCTCATTCAAATCATCCTTTTGAATCACAACACCAAGCCCCTTATTTGCAACTTTTTGAAGATTGTATCTGTTTGACCCGTACAATGGAATGCCAACAATTGGAACTCCATGAGCTACAGCTTCCATTACAGATGACATTCCTCCGTTTGTAACTAAAAGTTTGCAAGCCTTATGAGCAAGAAGATCGTTTTGTGGGATGAATGTAGTAAGATTAATGTGTTTTGGAATTTTGGTCTCATCAATTCCTTCAAGCTTCATGTTTGGCCCAACTCGCCAGTAGATTCTATAGTTGTTGAGGTTTGTAAGAGCTTTTAAGATCGATTTTGCTTGTTTCGCACTCATTTTACTGCTATCTGCTTGTGTACCAAAAGAAACAATGATTAATCCTTCTTTGGCAGCGGCGATAGTAGTGTTCCAAGGCTAAAAATTTGAGAGTTGTGCTTGACTAGTGAAAATAGATACCATACCGCGAAAAGTGGCTTTGGATGATCAATGTGGAGTCCTCCGACTGGAATAACGTTTGGTGGGAGAGCACGGGATGGTTCCAGAAGTGGGTCAGTGTTGGCGAAGAAAGCAACGCTTTGTTGCTTCAAAGTGTTCACACTTGGGAAGTTCTTGTATCTGAAAATCTCATTAAGGGGTATTTTGGAAGTGAATTCAACTCAAAACAAATCGTTGAGTACCTTTAATGAGATTATTCAGTTAGATATACAACCTAGAAAATTATTTATTTTGCTTGCTTACTGAATAAGCGAAAAAAGGTTAAATATTAGGTCTTTTATCTAACTAAATTTTCCAAAAGACGCCAGTAATTTAGTTGGTTTACTGTACCCACCTTTTCTTGATTGTGTAATCTGTTCTGAAAATGTTGGTTATTGGCTCATCCAGCAATCGATGACGCTTTGATACCAAAGAAGACAGAATTGGAAGTCCTAGTTGAGCAGTCATCTCTTGAAGATAGCAAATCGAGTTTCTGTATAAATTCAGAATTGGGTATTCTGGAGATTCGGCGATAGCACAGTGGGATGGAGAAGTGAACATATCAATTGGAGTTCTTGCGGCGACCAGTGTCTCATCGGTGAGCCCTAAAAGAATTGTTTTTCAAAATGTTTCTTCCCAGATTATGAGTCAACCTTCAGTATCGAAATAGATTGTAGGAACAGCGACAAGATGAGTCAACGCGTTTAAGCATGGATTTCCCGAGTATACAATTGCCAAGTCCAATGATTCCTTTTTCAATGAGTCCACTAGATTTGAGTTCAAAAGCTGAAAATAGAAAATTTGTTTACTAGCAATCATTTCTGATTTGTTGATCTCACTTTGTAGCAACTCGCGTTATGTGCTCTATAATAAGGCTCCAGATAACTATCATAATCGTAGTCGGCTCTCCATGCCGTATTTGGCACAGAATCTTCGAGTGGTTTGAACAAGTCCCTTAAAAAAGATGACGAATTTGAAATGGGTAAGTAAGTAAGAGTACAAGGAAGAGGTCCTACTACACATACACATACTCGAATGACGAAATATGTATGTACAAATTACGACGCATTGCGTGGGAGATTGTTGCAACTAATTTTGTAAGTTCCCTCTTTTAACTCACTTGCTCAGAACATTCTTGATGACTTTCTCACGGACAAGGTGTAGTTTCGGCTTCACCAGTCGCGGCTCCTCTGGGATTAGCACGGGCTTGATGGAAATTACATTATGGTGACGTAATGCAAGTTGTTGTGCAAGAAACTCGAAGATGTTCCTTTCAAACTGATTGGTGCCAATTAAAAATACTAAAATGTTTAGACTGGTAACAATTTGGACCAGTGAAAAAGCTAGTAGTGGGATCCTCATTCTTGACTAGTAAGTCTGAGAAGGAATAAAGGAGGAATGAGTAGAGGTTAGGCACAATGTGGAGCTATGGGCACGGTACTTTCCTTGCCTGGTACGGCAAACATTGACTTTCTCTCTCTTGGCCGACGTGGACATTGGCGGGCGGTGGGGTCAACGCGTTGGTCAAACAGATTTGTCTTTTTGAGGAACTAAATTGGTTTGATGTCTTATTCTCGGACCTTTGTCAAGATGATATCTCTTTGAATCACTATTTTGAGCAATGTCGATTGATTTTCACCATTTTCATTTAAAATCACACATTCTCAAAAATTTTATGCAATAATAGAAAAAGCAAGCAGCACGAGAAAACAATTGAAACTTTTTAGGACAGTGTTGGTGGGTTTTCCGAATAGAAAGTGACAGGAAAGATTGGCTATTGTTGTTTGAGACGAAGTAGGGATATCGATTAATGTGAACAGTTCCGGGGCAAGCTGAGACGACGAGTGACAGAAAAATGCTGATTGTTGATGGGGAGTAATATTGAGAAATGTTGACGGTGTTGATGTTTTGAATGAGATCATGATGAGAATTTGAAGGAACCACATTAATTGAATCGGAAACGACGTCCAGTTCCACACAACTTCCATCGGCACCTCTTGGAGCGATAGTGCTCTGGAAAACCATTTTCGGTAAAACTGACACTTTCCCACCAATTTCTCACCCGTTAATCTTTCCAAATCCTGCAATTGGGCATTGTTGGTTTTGGTCTCAAGAATCTCTCGCAACAAGGAAGCTCCGTTTTTGAGATCCGCTTCCTGAAACAACAACACCATTATGATATCACCTGTAGTTTGTGTTTTCACACATTCCCACTGAAACAGATTAACTCACCAATCTTAATCTGTCCGGTAAGCTGACATCTGATTGTGAAGGATCGAGGAGCGAAGCCTGAAAGTAAATCATTAGGTTTGATCTTAGTTGTTCGTTTTGAAGGTTTCAATAATGATTTCAAAATTATTTTCCTTAACATAAAAATTAAGAAGCTAAACATCAAGGATCGGAGTTTGAAGCCCTTTTCCGTCCATCTCATAATCGCTCAGAGGTTACTCAATTATTTCATTATCCCATCTCTTCTAAAATGAAAGGAAGAAAAATATATGAAATTGCAGCTATCTTTGAGAATATACAATAGACACTCCTCCAGAAATAGAATATATGGTTCTTCCAGAATAATTTAGTGACTTGTCGTCATATGTTGCAACAAATTAAATGAGACCAACCTGTGTTATGATCGCCAATAGGAATATAACTAATAGTGTACACAATGGAGAAGAAATCGATGTCATCGAAGAAGGTGAACCCCAACTTTGAAGAGCAAAGTGGACTGAAATGAGAGTTTCGTATACTTTAGAGAGAGTAGTTTTTTGTCTTACTTGAGCTATTAGGAAATTCCAACTGTCGGATCACTCCGTGTCCAACACAATATCTCTTGGAGGTCAGTGAGCTGTAACCGGCTCCGATTGAGCTAGTTACCGGCAAGCGAAACGTTGTTGGCTAAAACCTGCAACAGTGTGAATATGAGAGAGAGTCGAAGAAGGAAATTTTGAGAATCCAGAAAAACGATGGCGTCATTTATTTCCAGAATTTAGCTAGAACATCGTCATGGAGGAAATTTAGGGGAAAATCAGACCGGAAAAGCAGGGGGCAGGAGGAAACAGAACTCATTACATTAAGCGGAGCATCTTGGATTTTTTGTGTGGTTTGTTGCAGCGTTCGCGCCTACGAGTAAAGATTTTCCAGATAAATTGACGGGACATTTGACTTGATGATGGAGAAAAACATTGACGTCAATAAAAGAAAACGAGTCAAGGAACAGGACGGCGGGACAAAAAGACAAAAACGGAAAAAAGAGAATGACAACTCATCAAGTTGTTGCAAGCTTTGTTATTTGGTGGGTGTTTTCCAACAAGATGAAGAGCTTTTTCTATTCAAAAAAAACTGTTTCACCACTAAACTTCATTTTTGAAGTTAATGTGAGCTTAGGGTCTGATAAAATTACTTCCAGCTAGACATAATTCAATCATATTACACCCAATAGGGGACGTTCCTAACAATAACAAAATAGTAAAGACAAATTTAGCAAACGGAGGCCTTGGTCACTCATTCAAGTACGATTATATGCTGAGATTCGGACAAGGAGGAGCATAAAAGGGGAGGGGAACCTAATTGAATTATTACTCATTTCAATACAATAGCCATAGCCAAAAATCTGCAAGGGTGGAGAAAGGAATTCATACTCCAAGGGCAATATGATTCTGATTTGATAGAGTACTCCTTTGAACTGGTCCACTGGTATTATGTTAATCCAGGTATAATCCTTTTTTATTGGATGATGAACATTAGGTGGGGGAAAAATGCGAGGGTGGAGAAAAAAGGAAAACTAAAATACTAGAGGTTAAGGGTTGGACTGATTGGTAGAGCGAGACAAAAAGAAGGCGAAGCCCCATTTGAAATCTGGAAAAACGAGAACAGAGAAGAAACGTAAAAATGTGTCAAATTACCAAAAAAAAGAGTGGGAGTAGTGGTTCCTCATTCTTCCAAAAACAGAAGCAACGAAGAAAAAACGAGATGCCGCTCCAGAATTTTTAAAAAATACTCGTCATGTCACACTGATGACCCGAAGTGACTGGAAAACTCATAACTTTGGGCCGTGTGTGTAGGATGGGTCAAATGAAAATATGTTTGTAGGCCCTTCGTGTTTTTTTCCAGTTCTATTTTTACAAAAGAAAAGATCTCCTTCTGGATCATCAGTGCATCTAACATTTTCTGGGTCTTGTTTTTCACACATTTTCTACATAAAGGATAACATAATATAATTATACATATGTAATAGTTTGATGTTTGAAGATCCTTGGAACGATGTTTTGACAAAAATTTAATAAAGAAATAGGGAAATCTCTAGAAATTTTGTTTGATGAATCTCTGATAAATCGTTTGGAATTCATCTAAAAAGTAAAAAGAACAACAAAAAACGTCATCTAAACGGCGTTCATTTATTTTACGCCGTCACCAGTCTTGCTTCAACCTGATTGTGTTTTGCTAAATTTCTGGAAACTCGCTTTTTTCATATAGGAAAATATTTATAATCCTGTAAAGTCGGAGAAAAGTGTGGAACAGCAAATTAAATTTAGAAAAAATAGAAAACTGTAATTCAGTAGAATGCCTGGTTGTAAATAGATACAAGGTCAAAAAATAACCCGCTTTTTAAAGTGTTGCGATGATTGAATTTTTTGATTAAATTTCAAGAAGGTCATCAGACGTCGGCTTTACACTAACCAGCTGGTCAGAGGCATGATCGATGCAAAATCAAGAGATTCTCACGAAAAATTAGATTGGTCAGACGTTTTTCTTGCAATTACAGTTAAGACTAGTCAAAATCAAGGTCGTGTAAAATGGTTTTTTGAAGCTGGCGTGATCGAAAATTCAAAGTACATAATGTACTTTAAAGAGAAAAGGTTAACCTTGTTGTGAAATGGAATTTGAAATGTGTAAACAATTAGTGACATTCATTATTGCTGTAGATGAGCAATTCTCAGTAATATAAGAAGTATATAAAAGATTGGCTCAATTTTCTCCCTAGTTTCTAGTTTTACTACTTTTGCTACTAACAAGGAAAGATGTAACATCCTAAATGACAATCTTGTTTTTATAGCTCAGGATTGTTGCAAAAAAAAGATGGGAGGGATCCAAAAGCTCATTACATTCACGCACTTTTCTTGAAAGTCATGAATGTTCCAGAAGAGATTAGTGGAAAAAAGATTATGCGCACGCAAATTGCGCGTAACCATTTGGAAGCTCTTTTACGCAAATGCACAAAATCTATTTCAAGAAATCAGAATATTTGTGTGATCTATATAGTTATTGTATTCCACCTGATTCTGATATAATCCAATTCGATCTTTCCGCAAAATTGAGCTATGGTATCACTTGAAACCCGCCATATGACTCAATTTTCCAAAGAAAACGGAATTTCAGCTGAAAGTCGAGACGTCCGGATGAGAATTTTTCATTAATAGGGCGGGTGATGGGAAATTTTTTTCTTTTTTCTCGGCTCCAGGAAATCGTTTTGTTCTACCGAAAGAGACAAAAGTCTAAACGATGAGCGTGAAGAGAAATTATGTGACGCTTTTCATTTTTTTTTCACGGGTCTGTAAAAACAAAACAAAATGTCATAAATATAAAAACAGTAAGTGTTGATTCACAGCAAATGATGAACAAGTCATTACATTGACAAACGACGCAAAGACCCGGAGATGTACAATTGTTGGCGGGAATCTCACAGATCACATTTTCTCGAAAATGCTCGAAAAGATGAATCAGCACTGAAGTTCAGACATTCGGAGTATTTTTTGATAAAACCAAAATGACCATATTCTATAAAAAAATTTTGTTGTTCTCTAGTGTAGCATCTAAACAAAGTGTTTTATTTTTTGAAGGTCATTCTCCTCTTATTACATATGCCAAGCATTGTGTTGCGGACCAGCAAAAAAAGTTGCCGAATCATGCGGGGGCAGCGCCAAACGAGTTACGGCGGTACGTCACCACAACCAGCAAATGAGTGACATGCTTGTTTGTCGCTTAAAAAATGAGGCAAAAAAGTTTGAACTAATGAGTCTGTGGTTGCAAGTTCAATGTTCGGTTTGGGTAATGTTGATGGTTCATCTGAAAGGGATGTTGTTTTTGCATTTTGATGGATCAGCAATGTTGGAAATTTGAAAAAAAAATGAGCGGAGGTGACAGAAAAAATTACCTGAAAATTTTGTGAATATGAAATTCCACAAAGCTGTATTTCACAAATCTAAAAGATTGATTTTTGGAAGTCCACCAAAAAATATGAATGATAGCAAGAAACAACCAGAATTTCGAATTTTAGTTGTCAAAATGAAATTTACAGAAAGTTTGCTTTTAAAAAACGCTCTATGTCTTTCAAAAGGTTTGGTCTTAAAAATAATTTAAGTACCCGGAAAAATGCTCGTTTTTGAAAGGGTTCACATTCATGGATGCTTTTGGATGTTTGTTGAGAAAACTCTACTCCATGTCTATTGTCCATAAAACAGAATATTCGAACTTGACTCATGATTTTGTGATTCGAATAAAAGGTCTTTGAAAATCAAGATCGCACGATATTTTTGTATCTGGTGCAATTTTATTCGAAATAACGGTAAAACTTTACTACACATGTTCTCTTTTCAAAAATGAAACAAAAATTCATATTTTCACCAGGAAGGAAACAAGTTAGAATTTTAGTGTCCACATATAAAACGCTGAAAATAACAAGACCATTTCACTCCAGATCAAATCTAAGCATCATCTTCATCAAATATTGTTTTTCACCGAAATTCTTCGCCATTTGGGTGGTACCAAGTGGGAAAAATTTGAATGCATGCTACTGTACTTCAAAAATTGTTGTCCCAACAACAAGTTTAGAATTGAGTCTTACAAGGAACATGACAAGTCTTGTTTTAAACTTCGAAATGAATATGAATAAAAAATCAAAAACTTTATTTTGAATTTGAATGCAAATGTCCGAAGGTGTCCATAAAAAGTGCGGACCTCTCCAAGGACCAAGATTACTTCAAGTAACCTAAATCTTTGTAAAGAGTCAAATGTACTTTCATTCAACTTGGAAAATCCCGTCTTTTCTGCGTGGCAGAGATCGTATACATAATTTTCTCTACTCCACTCCATTCACTTTTTTTTATTCAAGAACAGCACCGCATCATCGACAATTGGTTCCGTTCTTACAGCGGGAACATTTTCGTATGTCCACTTGTCCGCTTTTTCGCAACTCACTATGTTCTATAAATAGTCTTGTAGTTTCACCATATTTTTAAAACGTTCCCAGTAAAATTTTTATTGCTTCTGGTTGGATAGAATTGAATCTTTGATTTTCTATCAGTCACCTTTTCATTCTTTCCTGGCATTGGATAGCAAGATCATGAGAGGTGAGAGACGATTTTTGTTGGTGAGAGGTGAAACAGAAACCAGGAAGAGGAGTGATGAGAGAGGGAAATGGAGGGTGTCTGTTTCTGTTTCTCTGGCGCTCTCTCAAAAATGTATACTATTTCTCCCCACGAGCCGTTTACACCTGTTCTTTTCTGAGACAGTGTTCTTCGTTGACCATGAGACGGCCTCACAGTCTCTCTGAGAAGGTCAGAGGGAGTTACAATGAAAGAAAACGATATTGCTCTTCTGTGTGGGTCTCATGCGCGCAAGCAGCGTCGCGACACCATCGACAACTGTCCGCGTCTCAATGTCTGTACACTCTCTTTTTTTGAATGCTAACGCATATCGTCTTTACGCCCGACCTCGTCGCTGTTCAATTCTCACTGAAAACAGCATGGACCTCTAACGTCATTCTTCCCTCATTTCTCTTCTTCTCGATTTACTTTTGTTCTTCTACGAATTAGAAAGCTATGCCCTATTTTCAAATAGGGTAAATTTTTGTCTAACGTGCTTCTGATCGAAGCTAGGAAAATTTTAAAGGCGCATATCTGAGAAATTATTAGTTCAGTTTTGTTTTTCTGAATGTTCCTAATTTTCAAACCTTATTAACTTCACTCGTTTGTTTAAATTTAATTCATTCGTATTTTCAGATGGTTAACACCAAGAAGCAAACTCTGTCTTCTCAAGACCACAGTTCGGTAAGATTCACTGTGCAAGGGTTTCAAAGTGTTTCTTATTATCATTTTTCAGACAACACGTGGTCGCGGAAAACGTCACAAGTGTCCTGCACTCATCGAAGAAGTTTCAAAACGTCCCAATCAAAAAAGAAGAAGACCTACCGTATCTTCGGAATCTGAATCGGAACCAGAATATGACGCTCAGGTACAGTTTACCAGGTAGATTTTCTGTTTCCAAAAATAAGTTTCTAGGAGTCGAAACCAAAAAGTATCTTTCAGACGTGATATTTATAATGACAGTGACTCTGATTTTGAAGAAACCCCGCCGAAGACAAAGCCTGAAAAAATGCGCGAAACTAAGGAGGTGTCTCAAACGGAAAGCAAGAATGCTGCTTCTAAAAATGATGTTTCTTTGTCATTGTCATGTTCTGAGCTGGAATCTGACACTAGCGAAATGGTATTATTCTTTCAGTAAAATTAAATAATTCAAAATAAATTATTACAGGATGTCAAGGACAAAATGGACGACGGACAGCCCGGAAAATCCATTCCACCAACCAGCTCGAAACTAAAACGAGTAGGAAAAAGCACGGATGAGAATGTAATACATTTCTTGCTAAAAGTGTTCCAAAAAATATTTTCAGAGGAGAACTCGAGTAATGTTCACGAATGAACAACATGAGTTACTTCTGGCGATGTTTCGTGAAAACGAGAACCCAACAAAAGAGCAGCAGGAAAAATTGGCCGTTGATGCGAAGCTTTCCGGAACCCAGGTAAGATTATATATTAGGTTTCATGCTCAAACCAGCCTTGTGAACGTTTGGAACTTTTTCCACCGCTGACGAGTTGATGTGATATGTTGCTAAAAAACAGATTCTGTTATCCATCCAACTCAAAACAATTTTAGAGTAATGATTGATTGTTTGGCTCTTTAGTTCAGTTATTTAAGTTGATACAATATTTATTTTTGTTGGGTTTCTCGGGTTCCGTTTAGTCAAAAGGAATCTGTGAATGATTTAGTTGTTTTGTGATTGCTTCATGATCCATGCGGCTGTTTGCGATCAAGCCTTTCAAAAAATTTTTGTTGTGTAACATGAAAACTGAGCAGTGTTTTACGAATATGGCTACTGTTTTGAATAAGCTTCATGGGACTAAAAAACGCGCTACATATTTGTATGTACAAAACAGCCTTCATCAATGTCTATTCACAATCTGAAAAGGTGTAATTTTCAGGTACGGAATTGGTTTTGGAAAAAAAGACATTCAATTAAAGCATCGAGAGATCCATCAAGCATAATTGTAAAACTTATTTTCTGGTAACAGTTAGACTTTTAAATTTTTGCAGAGATATACCAGAAGAATTTCGGAGGAAAAAAAATCGAAGTTGAAGCAAGTTTTTGCTATCAATCGTAACCCAGATAAGGCAACTGTTTCATCTTTGGCTTCGGAACTCCAAATGCCTAGAGATCACGTAAGTTCCTCTGGTCCATTCGTATCTAATGATCTAATTTTTAGGTCATACGATACTTCTCAAACATGCGTGGTAGAAATCTGATTGTTGGATCACAACCACTTTTTCTGTCTGAAGAGAAACAAATTTTGATGGACCTCTTCCAACAAAATCCAAACTTTTGTGACTACAGCAATCCGGAACTAATGGAAAAAACAGGCTGGTCGATTCAAAGAGTAAGAGCTTCTTTTTGGTTTGAAAAGAGAAATAAACATTTTTAAATCAGAAAATTTTTCATCGCTAGCAGATTAGAAAATGGAATTACTGAACTCGCCGGAATTACTCCACTTGCCGATAAAGAAGCGGAAGCGATACTTATGGATGTTTTCAAGAAGAATCCGCTATTCGATGATTATAGGAACATTGAATTGAGAGAAAAAATTCACTGGCCTATCAGCAGAGTAAGCTTCGCATCTTTGAAATTGAATTTGTATTAGTTTCAACCTTCAGATCCAGCGTTGGTTCATTGAACAACGCAATTTAAATCGTAGCCAAGTGAGCAGTCATTTTGATGAAGCCATGGAATCCATCTTCCAAAGAAAGCAGTTTTTTGGACATAAAAGCAAAGACTTGGAACTGATGACGGGAGGCTCTTGGGCGATGGTAAGTATTGAAATATTTGAGCATTCAGAAAAAATCATTTCACAGATTGTAAACTGGCTGGAGAACAAAAGAAAAAATGTTCTTCAGTCGTATTTCAAAAAAGAAATCTCGGACTTACCAAGTGAAATGGGCAAGTTTGAGGAACTTTATAAGAAGTACAACAGTCCCCAAACGACAGACCCTGATGTCATCAAGGAAGGAATCAATGAAAAACAAAATGGAGAAGATGTGGTAAACCAAAACGATGAAGAGAATCACATTGATCCGGAGTTCGAATATCCAATGGATGAAAACCGAAGCGTTCAACCAGATCCTCACCAAGAAGCGGGCGAGCTGGAAATTAACAATGATCAAACTGAGATCGCCAATCCACATGATGCACTGATGAATGAAAGTCTTCATGGGCAATTGGAAGAAAACGTGGCTGATGAGGAGACAGGCTTGAACCCCCAGATAAATGGAGAACAAATATTTAATTATTTCGATGAAGTCCCAGAGCAGCAGAATGATCAGATAAAGGAAAAAATGCCACCAAGCGTCCGCCCAGTCAACGGTGAAATGGAAATCCCAGTGAAAGTGGAGTCGATCGAGGAGGAAGAGAATAATATGCAACTAATCGTGTTCGATGTTATTCAAGAGGATGTGCCTCAGGATACTGAAGCTATGGGGCCCGTGTCAATCGTGAGAAAACAAACGGAATTCAATGATCTGCAACCATATCTTGGGGACATTGTTGGATTAACCGAGATTGGGTTTGCGAAGAAGACCGAAATGACAGCTAATAAGAGAAAGCTGGGTGGGGATCGCATGGATAATCTAATTCTCCCGTTCAACTGCTCCATGGGTTGGCCAACGTGGTCGGTAAGTGTTTTTTCTCCTTTTAAGTGGACAGTTTTTCATTTGATCATTCAAAAAAGTTTTTTTTTCAGAGGAATCAAAGAATGGAGTTTTTTGGCCAACTTTTTTCTCCAGAAACGACCAAAAAACTCATAGAGAAAGTCAAGGCCGGATATGTTCTCACTATGTTTCAAAAAGATCAGACGAGATACTTCAAAAACTTGAACTAAGGTACACCAATTATCAATTGGGATCAATTTCTCATGATTTGTGAGGAACTTGATAAAATCAAGAGATTTCATTCCTAAGCTCATCATATAAGATTATCTTCTTTCTCCTTTTACCTCGAAACATGCCCAGACTTCCGTTGTTTCCAATCCCCTCATCGCTGTTCACTTTTTTGTTCCATCCGTATTGTTTTCTTTCATTCCCATTTCATTATTTTGCCCAGAAACATATTTACACTCTGAGTATATTTAATCAAACACCTATTTAAATTTTTCCATGATTGAGGATTCAAATGAATATGGTTTTTAGCGAAATTTTTATTTTAAAGACAGTATTCAAACAGGACAAAATTTTATGAAACAGTTAATAAAGTTTTTGCATATTCGAAACTGAGAAAGGAGATGCAGAAGAAATGGAAAAAAAGTTAAGGACAAAACAATAAGCGCTTATTTGATTCATCTTTCAGATTGAAAATTCTGAAATCGGCCAGATAAAAATACTAGCAATACACTGGCTCTAGAAGTTTAACAAATGAAGAATGTAGTGAGTTATTTTATTCTATTCATTCAAAATCAAATGCACTTTGCTGTGCTACAAAATTCACGTTTAATACTAGAACATCGTGTTTTATTTCAATATTATCATCCCACTTGCAAAGTTATGGAATTTCAAAAATTGAGCTTTAATTGAGCTCAAAGGTAGTACTCCTGTTTTTTGAGATAAAAAGCATTTTTGCAAAAAAGGTTTTTTTTCATCTTCATGTTCTCTTGATGATTTTTCAAGAGAAACCGTTTCTTCAAGTGAAACATTGTTTTTATTCAACTGTTTGATTTGTTGATACAGTACTTTTTCAACAAATTAGTTTCAATAATTTATCTATAACAAAATACGATTTTAAAGATATTTATAGACACGAGAAGTAAACAATATCCTACCCATGGACATTACGCAATCATTCGTATCGAAAATTGTTTTTACACATCATTTGAATTATCCCGTCTTCGGTTGGAGTTCCAGGCGTTGGATGACTGTTTATTCTTTGCTGAAAATTTTGGTTATATGTTGAGCCACAATTACACCATATATACATTGTTCCAGAACTCAGCAACTCGGTCTCCTGCGTAGTAAACGGTCCACGCTCTAGGTTGAGCTGGAAGTGCATCCATTCCGCTCCCTGAAGAGTTGTTGAGGTGTTTGAAAGTTTTGGAGAAACAGAGATTTTTGAATGTTATTTGTTTCTAAAGCCTTTTAATCTTTTGAGAACATTACTTGAAACGTATGTACTCGGAATATGAGGTGAAAAAATGTAAATGATTGATGAACGTGTTCGTTTTTTTCAACTCTTTGCAATCTTTTGAAAAACAAAACAGCTAAAAAAGAAGTCTTCTCAAAAAGAAGTTCGGTGAGCGGAAGAAGACTTTTCCTTTAAAATGCCAAGCAATTTTGAAAATGGCAGGGAAGAGAGTGGAGATGCTCGCGTCTGATTTCTTTATTCTAGGTTGTTTGACACTGTGTGGCACTCCTTCGACAACTCACCTCCAAACAAAGAAGTCCGATGCTTTTTAGCAGTCATTGGTCTCGCTCTGTGCTCTTCGTGAATTCCTTGCTCCACGTCCTCATCATCTTTTGATTTCTCGCCATCCAGACTGCTACCATAATCTGATTCAGGTTCACTTGTCACGTCCGAGTCGTGCTCGTTGTTTTTCTTCCTTTTCCGAAATTGTTCAAGATAAAGTAACAAGTAAAAGGTGGGAATAATTTTGAGTTCAGTTAAAGTTGCCATGGGAATCTAAGTTTGATGCTCAAAAGTTTTCCAATCCAATTATAGGTTGTACTGACTAAATTCTTAGTTCCAAAATATGCATTTAAGAAGGAATACATATATTATTTAATTCATTAGTTTATACTAGAGTTCACGGTGGATTCATAATTCTCGGTGAAATTTTTCAGCTCAAACCATTTAAGATGGAACGCCACATAAAATTACAGTTTTCCTTTAAAATGCCAAGCAATTTTGAAAATGGCATTTAGTAATTTTAGACTGATAGTATTGAGAAAATGCAACCCTATTCCTGCAGAAACTATCAAAAAATTAACTTGTGGCAAAATTACCGTTATATTGTGATAAATGTTTTGCCAGTTAATCACTTTTTTTTATATATTCTATAGAAAAAGAAAATTTGTTTCAAAACGGAGAGTTAGGGACTTTTTAAAACTGTTTTCAAGATGCTAAAGTCAAAAAGATCCGCATTTCAGTTTTGAATACAATTTTTATAAATAGTTATCATTAAAATAATTTCACATGAACATTTTTTTGAAAAACAAAATGTTCTAAAAGTTTTATATTGTTTGCTGAATGGTTCATGCTCTCTGCATGATTTCAAACTTTTTGACATATTTAGAAAATATATAAAGTTTTACGTATTCGAAATATTCTGTTGATTTTCAGAATTTTTATTTTAAACCTACTCTATTCAATTATTCTAAGTGCAACTATAAACTTCTAAACTTTCTGAACTTTCAGTTCTTTCAATTCCAAGAAGTGCTCTCATCTAAAAAAAAACCCCCATCAAACCTTGACAATCTTCAATGTCGTTTCTGGAAGATTAGAAACATCAAATTCGTCCATGTACTGAGTTGATGTTGTTGGCGACACACTGCCCACTCTGCTAATTTCCGACGCTTCTTTCTCATTTGCGGTTGTAGTCGTAATGGGTCCAACCTTGGTAGAGTGTCGCCTTCTTTTTTCACTTTTTGAAGGGCCACCGAGTTTGACATCAGTATCAGAAACCCCATTTTCCACGGATAGTTCCGATTTTTGTTTTTGTTCAGCCTCCCATCGTGCTTTGTTTCTCTCCTTTTCTGGGTGAGGTAGGTAAGGAGCTTTTGTGATTTTCTTATGTTCCGCGTTCATTTCTTTCAAAAGTTTAAGTTGAGCAGGAGTCCATCCGGGTTCGTCTTTTTCTGGAATACATTTAGTTCATATATTAATATTTCATGGAAAAGTTGTTCTTTGGGGGTAGACCTCCATTCCGTCTTCTAGCTAGATTTATAAATCAATGCGTGACTTTTTATCTTTAGTTTTGTTTTTTCAATTTTATTTTTAGGACTAAGTTCCAATAAATTTCAAAAAGACATGTCCCAAAAGGTGATCTAATGGGACTACATTTACATGAAGTGCGTCTATAGTCAAGTATGAGAAAAATGATAGATCTATTCGATGAATATGTCAGGAATCCCCATGAGATGTTTTTCTTCCAAAGAAAATGGGCCGAACACTTTTGGGCTCGTTTTCTGAAAGAAGAATTGACGCCGCTCAAAAACCACGGATGTTATCTTGACTGAAACGTTTACTTCTCTTTTTTAGTCTACTTTTGTTTTTGCGTCTTTCTTTGTGTTAGTGTTTTTTTTTGTTTCTGTCAAAAATTTCATCGCTTCATTTTTCACGTTTTCTTCCTTCCCGGTCTTTACCAGTTCAATCACTGCCACCCACTATTTTTTTTCCTTGGTTTGTCTGTAAGCACATTTAAGCTCGGTGCCATCAAAACATAAAACCTGTGTAGAAGTGAGAAAAAAGGAAACAAAAAACGGAGCAGCAGTATTGCGGCAGCAAAAAATGGAAAAAAGAAGAAAATCGTCAGGAGTGTTGTTTTCAGCCACACCGGGAGTGAGGGTGGTGGGCCTCTTCACACCGACCCCCTGGAGTTCATTTTTCATTTTACGATTTTTTTCGAGGCTTTCAAAAAACGTTCAGTGATTTTTACTTCATGGAAAGACTGAAATTAAGTTTTTTTTTATTTTGTAGGATGTGTTTGGACGCAGTAATTTTTAGGCTTCGTATTAATGAAGATTTTGCTTTTTATGAGACAATTCATGAAAATTACCATGACAGAATACACTATAGGCACATTTTTGTTATCTCAAGTAAATTTAGAAAATTCGGCAGTTATGACTTTATAAATTTTCAATGACTAAAAATACTTGCAAGAACTAGAAATTTCTCAATTTTCAAAAATGTCAATTTAACATCTATAAGAGCTCGAGCGCTTTTCGAAGGATTGCTAACATTCCAACTGTATATACCTATAGATTCCAACATTGTATTCATATAAAAATTCCTTGTCCAATTTAAATTAAAAAAGATATTCCCCTCTCCCAGTAGCATAATTTTCTTGGTTATTTTTCTCAATTCCCCAAAGAAGATAGACGATGAACGCTTGCACTATTTCAAGCCTAATCAACAAATTTATAATTGAAAAGTCTCAAAAGACCAGACACATGGCTTAGAAATGTGAAGAGCGGCATTTTGTCATTTACCCATTTACTGGTGGCATTGTCTTGAGACGTGGGGCTGGTTAATTTTAAAGGTTTTAATTTGTGTCGCATGAATTTGAAATGCAAGTTACGCCACCACACTTACTTCTTCTACTGGTGCTGCTCATCAGTACCCGTTTTCTTTCTGCCTCTCAATAACCGAGTCGCACACCCTTATTTCTTTTCATTGGAGAATTTTTCTTATTCTTGCTCTACTTCAATTTCTAATTTCTTTTATTTTACGTCTCTGTTTCATTTCGTTGATGAAGATCCCTTCTTTTCAAAAAAAAGAAACCAATAAAATGTAATAAGGAAGGCCCTCTTACAACTTTTCCTCGCAATTTTTTATAAGCACCTTTGAAACAATGGGCGCATCACTTTTATTCTAAAATTTTTGTTTCAAAATAGAACGAGGATTGAAAAAAAAACCAAGTTTTAGTTTTTTTTTTTTGAAAAAAGAAGCGATAGACGAGTGTAGTCGTCACGATCACGTCCGTCTTATTTTGTCAATTAAACTCGTGTCTTAGAGTGACATACATCTCCTTCTACACCATACAGAAAGCTTAATGTCTGATGGCAGGGGCAACGATGGGAATAGAGTGGCACCGAAAGCGGGAAAAGAGTAGGAAATTGAAAAACGCTGCTTCTTTTTATTTTGACTGTTTCGCACAAAAACTGAGAGGTCCATGTGTGTAGAGAAAAAGTGGTCTAGATTTCAGGGGTGGTCTGAATGCAGAGAAATTTTTTAAAAGAAAATATCACCGCTAGAAAAAAATCCGAACATTTCATCTCTCTCTTCAGATAGTAAGAGACATAATTGCAAAATCAGGGCCCTGCCCGTGACTCCTCGGCCCGGACCGGCGGGCCCGGGTTCTCCAAATTTGAAAAAAAGTTTTGAAATTTCAGAATTTTTTTCAAATTTTTTTGTGAAAGAACTATTTTTTATGGACCCTCTTTTCTCGAAAATGTTTTTCTTGACAGAAAAATCGTCCATTTTTTTTCTGTTGACCCCAAAAAAATTATTGAAAGACAGAAAAATTTTCTTTCGAAAATCCGGGCCGGGGCCTGAAAATTTTGAAAAAAACGCACGGCCCGGCACGGCTCGGCCCGTTGCAAATATGGTAGAGATACACGTTTGCCGAATTCCATTTAAAAATTCTAATTTTAAAAAGCTATAATTCCTAAAATCATGAAAACAACCGCTAGATTCCCACTCCCAGGTTTAGTTTTTTGTGGGAACCAATTTTTTGCGTCTTGTCTGAAGACTTCTAATTATATCCCGGGGAATTTTTGGTGGAAAAAAATGTAGCACTTATTGGACTTTCTGATTTAGGTTTTTTGACGAGGATCTTATCTTGAAATTAAAAATTAAGCCAGATGCCTAATAAAAATTGATTTTTACTTCGATATCTAGAAATAGTAAATATTGAAAAGTTATCTCAAAAAATCGTAGTATGAGTTTTAAAAGTTTTGTCTAAAAATATCTAATTATACTCATTTTTTCAAAAACAATTATGAGTACGAATTTCACAATTTTATAATGTTTTGAATTTTGATGGTTGCATTCTTTTTCGAAAAGTTATTTTCCTCGAGAAACAAAATAATTTGAAACAACTTCTGGACATTTTACTTTGAAGCTATATTCAAATCATTTTTGTATGACTTAAACTTTCCTTGATTTAGCTACTATGGGTAATATATTTTTAAAAATATAATACTCACAGTAAACAATCTTATAGAACGACCTCTTCAAATTTAAATTTAGGCCGATTTTTCTCGTTTCCAGGAACCAATATGTTTACGTTGTTTCAAATTATACACTCTGTAATTATTTTTCTGCAATTATTTTTTTCTGACAAAAATCTATCTAATTTGGAACAACTTCTAGACATGCAATTTCATTTTTCCAAACTCTCAACTGTCCTTTTTTCACACCACTCCCAATTTTCTCATCCTCGACAATCTTAGTGTCACTCTCATCCAAATTCGACATGGAACCGGTGCTCACGGATCCCGTTTTCGTGTTTCCCAATCATTATTCAACTTGCAAGTTGCTCCATTTTTTTTCTTGGTGAATTGTGTGAAACTGCTTCCGATTTTTTTTCCCTTTCCTTTACTGGTTTGGTATGAAAATGAGAATGTGAAGGCGTGCCAATTTTGTCAGCGACTTCTCCATATTCTCACACTTATTCCTGACGGGCAAAAAAAACTAACTGCTGGTTTTATTTTCACACTTCTCCTCTTTCCATCCTCGTCAGGAGCATCAAAAAAAGAAACACGGATCTTCCCAGAGCGTTGTTCATTTCCCACCTATATTTTCGACAGATGCTACTCTAAACAACTACAGTTTGAAGTGAAAAAACAAACTTTAAATAATTAATTATCAGTTCATCTTGCCCAAAACTTATTCCGAGCTCAGTTTATTGACCTACGTTTTTGAAACAAAACACGTCACCGTCATTCAGGAGCATAACTATTAAATTACTCTTTCGCCCTGAAGCACTTTGCAAGTGAGTTTATTAGTATTTCCACTCGTGGATGAACAAAATTTCTTCCGACATCTCCTCCTCGTCTCCAACGAAAAAATCATCCTTTCTTCACTTTAATCCTGAAGTGTTCGAATTTTGGAAATGGAAAATGGTAATCTATCTTGGCATTTTAGAGATATACCCAACCCTCAATATGTTCATTTTTCGAGCCACAAGGCCCCAAGAGTACATTATGACGTTATTGGGAGCCAAACACGATGTAATTAGATGTGACGAGTTACCAGAAACTATTAGTAGACATGAACTACTCTATTTTTACTTCTTCTTTTTGTTTCTCTGTTCCTTTCGACCCAAATTTGTTTTATGATCTTTATAAAACATATTGATAAAGCTCACTATTCAGTACTGGCTTCTCGAGTGTCATCACGGTATTTGAACCATCAAATGGGAGTGTGTGGACTGGTTTCTCAGCGGCTCTGAAACAAAATAACGTGAACGCATTCGTATGGAATTTTGGTTGCACCACGATCGACACTATCGGATTCGCAATCAGCCTAAACGGACAACCGCGGTGAGTTTTTTTTTTTCATTTTTACATAATTCAACTGGGGTAACTTTACCTGTTACTAAACAGCTGAATGGGGAACTTACAGCTTTGTCCTTGAAACTGTTGGGCTCGGAAGTTTGAGAACATTTGTCTTTTTGACCTCATCATCTCTAGCCATATATGCTGCGGCTTTTGATCCATACACAAAACCACAAACGTTAAAAAAGAAAAACAGACAGAGCCATCCAATGACAATTAAAATAATTCCTGTGCCTAAAATCCCGATCAAAAACCATAACTTCGTGGTACTTTGATTCTCAATGTCTCGATCAGCTGAAAACAATTAAGTTGATCCTTTCCTCTAGTTTTAGAAAACTAACAAATGATCTTGCTCAACGGATAACGTAATGTCGCCGACATTTGAGACATTGTGAGAAGTGTCATATCATCAGCGACTATCTGAAAATATATTCTAATTGGTGAATCCCAAAATACATTTAATACCTCTCCAAGAATTGGCTCGTTGGCTGCATAGGTGACGAAATGGATATATGTCAGATCTCCTGATGTTCTTATCCGGATAATCTGAAAATATGATCGAACAATGTTCTGTGATTTGGTGCTGGAGCGTTATTTTTCTTTCGTTTATCAATTCTCCCCACTTCAGCAATTTGCGGTTGCCCTCCCCCCCCCCCTTTTTCTTAGGATGACAGACAATTAGGCTAATTATCACATCTCTTTTCTTTTTACTTCGCATAAGCTCGGAAAGCCATGTGCGACCTCATAGCTGTTTTACTTTTTTGTAAATTCCTAAACCTGTCTGTTATTATATTTTACCATGCCGCGAAGCAGTTCTATGGTGAGTCTTCCAGATATACGGTATAAAAATGAGATTTAAATGAAAACGAACAGTGTAATAATAGCTGACCTAAAGAAAACATAGTTTTTTTTTTAAATACGAATTCTGTATAGTCTGAAGTACCGTTGTTTAAGAAATACATTGTTCCAGTTAGATTTCTATCAATCAGACCAATAAATAAGGTTACCAGTTTGGCACTTTGCAACAAAAACGAATTAGTTCCGCTTCTGTGGTTAGTGCAACTTCATTTTGGTAGCAAGTGCCTGCCAGCTGCCCCATGAATATTTTAGTTTCCAGGTTTTTTGTGATCTTTCGAAGATTTCTCGTTTTTTAAAATAAATTTTCCAATACGTATTTATCAGCAACACTACCGTGAAAGAATTATCTATCAGAAGCCCACTTTATATATCCACATTGAAATAAAGTATCTCGGTTATTTCAAGAGATCTCGAGAATGTGTAGCTGTTAGAATATTGTTCGTTAAACTACCATTATTTTATTAGTTGACAAGATTTTGATATCTTTCTAAGAAACCGAGATGATTGAGCTCAAAATGCACGTATATAGTGGGTTTCTATTAAGGCATTTACGGTGATTATATCTGGTATCTGTATCGTATCTGTATGGTATCGGTGTTTTTCCCTTAAGAATTCCAGACGTTTTTTCCTCATCAGACCCGTAAGACATTCAAAGGTTTTTACCCCATGGACTGAAAACTACTAAGGAACTCGTCCGACAGCAAAACCCTAAAGGAACGACACAAAAGAAGCGAATAGGCGGGTGAAGAAAATGTATGTTCCTGTTGCCCCAACTTGTTCCGAACTCCTTATTGTTGTTGATGTTTTGCTCCTTTCCAAGTTTAGAAAAAAAAACTAAACCTGACCATTGCACGAACAATTGTTTTTTTTGTTTAGAGAGAAATGAACAAAGAAAAAAATACTGCACACTATATCATTTTCCTCCTTTTTTTCGAAATTTTAGACAGTAAAATATCGATTTATTAGAATGTTCAGAAACTGTAATTTGGCTATTTTTATTTCCTGTTTATATACCTAAAATTGTAATCAAGTAGTTAAATAAAACTACCTTTATTTTAAGGGTTTTTAAATTGTCGATTTCTGACAAATTTTAACTAAATGTAAACTGTAGGTTCGGAAAAATCATATTCAAGATTAATTGCTATATTCACAAAAATTTAATATACGCCTAATATGACGATTGTGACTTTTATGGAAAAAGTCAAGTAAATTGGCGTTTCCAGCAAAATAAGAAAATCAAAAAATCATATTTTTAAAAGTTGATTTTCAGGAATAAAACAATTGCTAGAACTGACCAGAACAAAAACTAAAATTGAAATTTGAAAAAAATTCAGACAACCCAATATATTCTTTCGAATGTGTATTTGTCTCGTCTCTCGAAGTATTTCCGAAATTTTTGGGGGGGTAGAGAGGGGGAAGGACCCATGTCTTGGCAAGCGTTTTTCGATTTGTATGTTTGGTTGAGCCCCTCCATAGAAAGGGAGGAAAAATGTAACTCCAAGACATCGATTAAAGGACCAAAAGAAAAGTGGAGGCGAGAAAGAAGTAAAAGAAGAGAAAGAAGAAGAAAAAAGAAGTCAGAAGAGTACGAAACGCTAGGGGAGAAAAGAGGGTGTCCGTTTTGGTGGTAGTGGTGGTGGGATGGCAAAAAGAAGGAAAAAAGCAGGGTTATAGGATGCCACTGGTGTGGGTATTGGTGGAAGAGTGACATCGAAACTCGATTTCTCGGCCATCAATTTTCCTAATCTGCATTTTCAGCCCCTCATTCATCTTTCAACAACAATTGACCCCAAAAAGTTTTGGGTTGCGCCCAGACAGAATTTTTTGAAAAAAAAAAGAGTTAGTGGCTCGTAGCACAAACAAAAAACCAGCGTGATACAAATTTTTTTGACTGAGCCAGACTAATCTGGTGTGCATTTTTTTCCTTTTTTTTTGCTTTCTTGGAATCCTCTCTTCTCTCTTTTTTCTCATCTTACTTCTCATCCTCGAATCAGATACCCCCCAGGATGGGCAAGCCAGTGCTCAAAGTTTCAAAGCTACGGGCTATAATTACGCTCTTTCTCCACCTGCGTCTTCTCTTCTTTTCTTTTATTTTTTCTCTGTTTCTTTTTAAAATTGTTAGAATACTAAAATTTGAACCCGAATGAAAAAATAATTGTATTTTTTATAAAGAGAAACGAATTTATATGGAAAGAAAAATGCTAGGATATGAAAGAATTTTTTGAGTATCAAAATTTGTAACAGATCACGAACTAAAAAATTTTGGAATTTCTAGGGAAACCCTTTTTTAAGACCTCCGTTATTTTAGTCAAAAATAACAACAATTTGTCAGAAATCGCTTTAAAAATGAGCTAGCAAGGTTTCGTCGTTTTGGGACTTCTAAATCTTTGAAATCAAAAATTAAAAATTGCAAATATGACTTTTCATCGTTAATCTTTTTTGAATCATTTACAAAGTATATTTTGGTATGAATATTATTGCTGATTCTATAGAATGTGAATTTCCTTCAATGCCGATTTTTTTTTCAATTTTGACAGTTCGAAATTTTCATACGTACAAAAACACACTTTTCACAATTTGAAAATGCTTTGATAACGTTTCTCCTTTACCCTCGGACGAAAAAGTCCAAAAACTGACCCTTCCTTATTCCACTTTCCTATTTTCCGGTCCGGACCCATTCAGAATGCGCAAACATACATAAACGTAATATCCCTGAGACTAACATACACATACTAACATGGATACAAACATTTAGCAACTTTCTCCGTCGCTTTTTTCAGTTATATATCTTCTCTCACTCGGTGGCCATGGAACCTAGTGTGGTCTTGGCTTCAAACCGCTTCCAAATTGCATTTCGGAAGTTGAGCCCGGGTTTTTTTCTTCTTACACCCACCCTCACCCTTAATGGTCTGGTCTATGCACTAGTACTCGCAGTTTGCATCTTTGCAGAATATCCACTAAACTCCCCTCTTGCGCTATATTATTTTTTCGATGAGCACTGCCCCTCAAATAGCCTAACGCTAATTTCCGGACGCCGGATTCGTTTGCCATTTGCTCTTCTCATTTTTTTTCGTTTTTCCACTCATTCCACGAAACATTGATGCTTCAAAAATGTGCATTTGCGTATGCTGTGTATCTTGGACACTGCAATTTTTCTTTCTCTTTTTCCATCTTTCCAAAAAAACCTGGAGCTAGGGGTCAAGTATTTTTTTTAGGGAAGAAGTACTGGAGAAAGAAAAAGAGGGTTGCCTTTTGGTAAAAGAGGTCCAGACGGCTGCCGCATTTGCACTTTATTTATTTTTGCGCTTGTTTCAAACACAGCTCTATCTTTTTCATCTATATTGCCCTCCTCACATATTTTTTCTCTCATATTTTGCAAATAACTCAAATCCAAGTATATGTATGGAAAAGTTATTATAGTTTCTAGGATATTGTGTTGAATCAGTATAACACAACACTTTTTGAGAATCTCTATCATAATTTTTGCAACAAAAAAAATCTTTGAAAGATCAGGTTAGTCTGAAAAAATTTTTGAATTCTATTCAATTCATTTTTCAAAGAAAAATACTTTCGAAAAGTTCAGTGAGGTTTCTAGGCTACAACGTGATTCTGACATTGCTTTTTTTGCTCATCCTCCTCAATTCGAAACTATAACAAAAGTTCGAGCTAAAAATCTTTGACAAAGATATTGTTTTTGTTCCTTTTTTGTTAGTTTTTTGTTGCCGTTTTTGCTTGCTGCTTATTATGGTGTCGTTTTCTTTGTGACATTCGTAAATCAGTCACGGACTGATGTCAGTTTGAGTCGGTCGGAGAAAACGGAACACAAACCGCTAGGAACGGAGGAGAAAACAAAAACAAATAACAAGCACATTATAGTAGAAAAATTTTCAAGTAGAAAATAGTAAGGCCTCTTTTTTTTCTATTTTAATCTCTATATTTTATTTTTTGGACTGTCAGACAAAGTCCATTTATTAATTTCTCTTACTCCTGTCTTTCATATAGTTTCCGGTAGGCCGTATGTAAAAATAGAGGAGCATGAAAGAGATCTGCCATTTATTTTCGGACATAAAAGTGCATAGCTCAATTTCTCATTCAACTTTTTTCTTATATTATGAAAATAGGTTTTCTTTCTTTTTTTTAAGCTTCTACACAGCTTTTCTGCTCTGCAAACTCTTTTTTCCTACTGCGCAATTAAACTTTCAACGTCCACTCATTAAAAATAGAAGAATGAAACTTGTGGTTACTGGTCCTAGGTTTTTCACGTGTTTTGTTTTGTTTCTTCTACGTACAAAGTAAAGTATTTTGATTTTTTATGTTTTGGGATCCCCTTAGAAAACATCCTTTCTAAGGATTATCTTTTATGCCTTAATGCCAAAAAATAAAGAGAGAAAAAAAGCCGACCTTTGTTTTATAGCCCGAATTGGAAGTGGTAATCTCAGCGGGTGGCGTTTGTTTTCGATGCTTGTAAGCCGCCAGAGCGAATGCCATTTCTACCAGTTTATCCAGCCGCTTTTCGAATTCTGCGTATGGTTCCTCGACTCGGCTCGATTTTAGTTCTGAATTCATTTTTTCATCATTTTTCACTCCTCCGTTTTTTCATCATTTTTGCTAGTGATCAAAATTGTACTAGATAACATCATGAGCTGTTTCAGTTTCATGATTTTGGCAAAAAGTTATGAGACCGGAATAATTTAATGAGAACTGGGTCATGAGATTTGCTCATAAGACAAAACTTGTGATCAATGGAATATAGTTTAGTTCGAGTCGTGAGAAACTGAAAGTTGCAACAAACCAAATACCAGTAAACCTGTATTAGAGAGGTCCATCAAATAGAAGGGCCCTCCGGGAGGGGTTTGGAGAAATACAAGTCAAAATGTGTCTTTTGTGAGAAAGTAGATAAAAAATTGTTGTTTGCAAAAAAAAACTGCTGAAAATACTGTAAAAAATTGAATTTGGCCAATCCTGTCTATTGCTAACACTTACATTTAGAAAATAGTTTTTTACACATCTTCACTGTTTTATAACTCTTTAATTAAATCGTTCGACTTACCAAGTTGGACAATGTACAGAAATGACGGATCTGTTGCATTGTGATATTTTTCCGCAGTTCCACTAGGCACTACAGTTTCAGTGGCATTGCCAGCTTCCTCTCTTCCTAACGTTTGAGCAATTATTGAAACTGAAAATTATGAAACGTTAGTCTCTATTTTTTTTTTTCGATTTTCGTTACCTGGAGAATCTGGAGGTTGTTGTAGTGATTCACAGATTAAAATAATGAGTAGAATCACTTCAGTCGTGGTAATCATTTCGGAACCTCTGATATATTCAAGGAGCCACAGATAAGTTAAGAACTAGAGGGTAGAGGACATATGACAAGAAATGAGATGAAAATAAAAGCGAATTCGTCGACCGCAATGTGTCCCTCTCTCCCTTGCTCTCTCTCCCTCTCTCTCTCTCTCTCTCTCTCTCTCTCTCTCTTCTTCAAACTTCGTGTGTTGCTATGGTGTTGTTTGGTGTAGCGGTGGCGGGAGGTTGCGGGAAGAGAGCAGGGTGGAGTTGCGTGTTGAGAGGGTATGTATTAGGAGAATGTGAAGATGATGGAGGTAGAGGATTGAGGAATAAATGGGACTCTCACGACTCCTCTATGAAGACGATGTGTGACTCTGTAAACCAACTGATCCGATGTAAATAGAAAAGAAGCAGGAGAAACTGAGATGGGAAATGAGAACAACTATGATATCCGTATTTCCGTAAAACTTATCTTCGATTTGTTATCGGGAATTCTGTTTTTATAAAGTTATGTAGGAAGGTGTAAACCTCTCAAGCTTCTTGAAAAGATAAAAATTCGAAAGGAATCTGAATACTCAGTTTTCTTTGAGTTTGAAATGGCAATCTTGATTGAGACTTTCGCTTAACCGAAACATGAAGATTTGTGAATATTTGTCGATAGAGCATATAGACTTAATAGATATAGAGCTTTAAACCCGCCCCATCGCTAACCTGTTTTCAATTATTCTCGATACAATATTGTACCTTTCAATTCAGCGAAAACCCCTCTTAGTTAGAAATTCTGAAATCGTGAACATTTGAATGAGGAGATTTTAATCTTGATTGATATTGACTTTATCGAGACTGATGTCTTTCGCTTTGAGCATTTTGATGACATCGATTTCAGAAATTTTTCCATTTATTCGAAATAGATTTTTGCTTGGAAACCAATCTACAAAACCCGCCTAATCCCAGTAACTTCAAAAATATCCAGTCACATTTTATTTTCAAACCGGGTCAACAATTTCTCGAATAATCTTACCATTGTAAGCCTTCCAACTAAGCGCGTTCTTGATACCAATTCCCATATTATGAGTCACATTGTCCACTCAGTCATCCATTTTTTTGACTAAACCATGACATTGATAATGTACTTTTCTTGCCAACGCCTTGTAGTTCTATTTTTCTTTTTGTGATTTGTACTTTAAAACTTTGACTGAAAATGGAACCTGCATTTTTTGTTTCGTTCAGGCTGTAGTGAACCTGAGTTTTTCTTTTATCATAACGATCTGATGTGTTTTCGTTTGGAGCTAAAACCATAAAAGTTCGAATTGCTGGGAGTCGTGTTAATCCTCTTTATATTTTTCGGATTAGCCAAATGGTTATCCGACTTTTCATCCATTCATCTTGAAAAAAAACATGAGCCGTCGTCGTAGTGGTTTTCTAATTTTTCTTCGATTTTCGCCTCTTTTTTCACTTTTTTTTCATTTACGTAGAGAAAGCATGAATGAAAAACAGGAAAAATGGTTTTTTTTTCTGTGAACAGCCGTTAACGTGATATTTAGGATATTTTCCGAATACAAACAATTTCAGATTTAGACTTGGTACCTAGTGCGTACTAGGTCTTGTTTTTCAGTCATGATTTTGAGCTAACAATTTTTTACTCTTCAAATTCCATCTGGCTGTGAAAACCCCCAAGTTTTATCAATGCATTTCCATTATCTTCTGTGAAGTTCAATTTCCTATTCTTTAATTTCCGCCACACTGAAAGTGTATAGATTTTCATTCTTCCGGTATATCCGTTATCAGCTGGTTGGTATTCTTCCGGCGTTGGAAAGGCGTGGACCTCCTTTCCGGGAAGTCTCTAGACACTTTTATCAATTCACTTCAGCTTTTCAAAAGCTCATTTTTAAGCTCGAAAAGAACAAACTTCTCTAGCTGTACAAATTCAAAGTAGAAGTGTTCAATCAACACGAAAAATAAATTCGAAGCAAGTTTTCTTCTCCCATCCTCTAATTCCGCGCCGGTTCTTTGTGCTCATTCTTTGCGAAACCAAACTTCATTATCCACGACGATTTTGGTTAACGCCACATTCCCCATGGGTGTCCCATCACTTGAGAATTGTGTTGGAGAAGAAGAACATTTTGGTTTTTAGAATTTTATCTAGTTGGTTTTCCGTATATTATTGGTGAACCTTTAACGAAAAGAAAAACAAAGATCTTACTTCTGAATACAGTTTTTATTAGGCCATTCTGCAACAAATCCGCCTTCAGGCATCTAAAGATCTCCCTATACTCTCTTTTTAGTGTTTCTCTTGAATTCCTGATGAGTCGAAGGGTTTTGTCTTCGACTCTTCCGTTAGCTTCTTTCGTTATCTCATCCGGCATTCCATGCATTCTGTGATCTTCTTCCCGCCCCTAGCTTTACACTCCACAATGTACGTTCCATCCGTATCAAGAGCAAAATTAGTTATTCATTGGGCGGCGAAGAGTAAAAAAAGAAAGAAAGGATGGAATGACAATATGGAACATAAGTTTTTACTGCATCCATTTTGTTTTGATCTTCTCCTTCTTTTCCTTGGGTTACAGAATACTGAAAAAGCCTAGAAAATGTAATGCTTCAAAATCACAATCTCTGATTTTCAATGAAATTTCAGAAACTAAATTGTTTTCTGATAACAATTTACTAACAAATACTCGGCTTCTAGAAAATTGTAAAGTTTCTTAACTCGTTATTCGGTGTGTCTTTCTAAAAAACTAAAAGAGGACGTTCAACGGCGTTCTCTTTTTTTCAGAAAAAATTCTGAATAGCTTCTTCTTCTCCTTGGTGGTTTTTGTCAATGTGACCCCCGGGCAGTCACTTTCCGCTAATCTCCTTTTTATTGCCCTCAACGACTTTTGTGGCAACGAGAAATAGAGAGACTTTATCAGATTATTCTCTCTTGCCAAGAAATTCAACAACAATTATCTCTTTAGACCCACTGGTGGCGTAGATACGTTTTCGGCCAAGACCCCGAGTCAAACTTCGCTGATTCGATTATTCTGATTTTGCGACGTGTGTTTCTCTGAGCTTTCCCCTTTAGTTTTCGTTGTCTCTCTCTCGGAACAACTCTACATCTCGGGTTTTTCATTTACTAGTACTTCTTCCAATTATATGCGGTTAAGACGCCAAGTCATTCCGCACTCCGCCACCATCTGGTGCACATTCTCATTTCGAAAAACGACTTTTTCACTGGGAGAATGAACATCGTCTTCGTATTGTGTTCGTCTAGTATTTTTACGCTAACTTCTTCGAGAAAGTGAAGAATTGTGAATGTTATTCATTCTTTCAGTTTTCCAGGTAGAAATTAGCTAGTATGGTTTTGAAGAATCTGTCTCGTTTTGTTGAATCTTAAATTCATCAAAATTTCAAAAACCAATGCACTTAAGAAATTATGTTTTTTCGATAAAACATCAAGTACATATAAATTCATTCTGGTAAACAGAAAACTGATATTCTAGCTTAAATAGGATTCAAAATTCCATAGTGATCCATGAATGAAACAATACTGGTTTTCTCTCTTTCCAAAGATTAAAAAAAATTCTATTTGAGCATATTACTCTGGAATTGAGGCATGTTGTGGTTTAAATCAAGACAACCGTGGATTTTTGAAAATTCTACAAAAACTAGTTTTTTTAATTACTCGAAAACTCGATGAAAACAAAACAAATGAAAAAATCTATCGCGAAAGTTTGTGGTATGGTGATCGTATGTTCAAAATTTTATTGACCAATTTTTCATTTTGGTCAAAATTTGAATCGATTTTTGAGTACACTAAAAACTAGTCATAGTTATGCCTAACTTCCATTTATCGAATAAATTCAAAATGTAACAGATTAGAAAACATTAGCGGTATTTCATTTGTCCACAAAATTTTTCCAAACTTGAAAGTGAATATCATATTGTCTCTCATTTTGCACTTACAAGTAGAGGAGTACATTCAAAACATCTTAAAAATCTTGAATTTTGTGACAGTACTTATCCTGGGAAGGTTATAGCAGTTTGATTGGCTGTGGGCTAAGAATTGTCATAGAACTCTTAACCATTTTGACTGTAATTTTTCTGATAAACTTGCCACAACGCCTCTGCTATTTGGATCTTTCATCTCACTTCTTTAGACCTCTGTTTTTTCAGCTTGATTTTCTACCTAGCTAAAAGACACGTGTCAGCTAAGTAATTAATAAAGAGGGGTCCCAAGGACCATTGGAAATGCTTGTTTGGGTGGAAAATGTGGATTTTCTCCTTGACAGCTCATGCATGCTGCATTCCGGAGAACCGGACAACTCAAGGCAGTCAACTTTCTTGTGCCCCTTCCATTCAACATCATTCTACCGCCCCGTAGTCGGCAAAGGGGCAACGTATACCTTTGGTGGTCCCAATGGCTCAGCCTACACTTTTCCAATACCCAACCAACCCAACCCTAACTTGTCTTTTTTCCTCCTTTCTTCCTATACCCCAGTTTTTTCTTCCAGGGTTGTCTGATTCTGAAAAAAAAACTTACCCCTCAACGTTTCTTCTTCCACTTTTTTCGGATGTTTTCTGCATACATCTACACGTTTTTGTGCATGTCTCTATCTTTTTTGAATCTTCCGGCTGGGTTGGCGTCATCGACTCTCCACAGAAACTCGTTGTGAGTGGACCTCAAAACTTTTTTCTTCATCTCCCCTTCCATCCGGCCGATTCTCACTCTCGCTTCCTAAAGCTCCCGGGAGTGATATCTCTCTTTTACTCTTCTCATGGCCACCAACTGTTCAAGTATTTGCGAACGGACACCTAGAGGTGATTACAACACTTTTTGAGTGATGAGTGCACAGAAGTTTACCTGAGTTTTTTGAAAAATTTTCAGATCATCTTAATCCCAGTTGATCAGAAATCCTTTTGAAAATCTATTGTCTGGAAATTTTGAAAAGGTACGACTTGTTTTCGATCTTCGATGTCTAGTCTTCACAGAATACTGAATTTCATTGCATTTTTCGTTCGATCACAATAATTAAGAATG